AGATATCACTGAGACAAGGACTGTGACGGCCATCAGTTAGATTACATTTGGTTGCAGCTGAGCAGCAATGTAAGTGCCTTCCACCAAGTCTTTTCAGCATGGATGTCCTAGTATACACATCTATCTTGAATACATACTAGTTATTTCCTTTCTTTTCCTCTATAGGAAAAGAAATCCTCTACAGTGGATAGGCAAGAATATTCAAAACATTGCCACAACAGCTATTGACACAGAATTTGGGACTCCCAGGTATCAATCATTAGAAAACTATGGAAGTGTGGGCACTTTGTACCTGTTCACACAAACTGTGATTGCTGAATCAGACAGGACTGCAAGAATTCCAGTTATTCAATGACGTTCTCTGATGCTCCTGATGGAGCATCATTACAAGGCATTAGAAATGTACTTCCATTTAGTGATATTTCTCCACATAAGCTACGAGTACAACCACAGCGATACTTAACACATCTCAGAGCTGAACAGATATTAGCATTATCCATATAACCATTCTGCTTTAAACATTGAAATGGCTTTTCAAATAAGAAAAAACTACCAGTTACTATCTAAAGCGAGTGATATCAAAAAGCAGACCCCCCTCAGTAGATCTGCCTCCATCTGCATGGGTTACAGTTGAATCTCTGCATACTTAGTTCCTTACTTGTTCTTACTAATCCATTTTAAATTTTGCATTATTAATTTTTAAGAATTTAATAGTAATTTATTCATTGTTATTAATCTTACCTTTGTTAATTATTTCTCAGGCACGGTATCTCCTTAGTTCACTTTCCTATGCTGATTCTCCATTATGAAAACATTCCATTTAACTTCAGAAACAGCTGCTCAGCCTTCATATTAATTACTACCATGACATTGTATGAGTGGAGTACAAAGAGTCCCCTCCAAGGGATATCTTAAGGGATGCCAGCAAGCAAGACAAATACATTTAAGTTCTACCAGCTACTCTTTCTGGAGCAATTTCAGGTAGATGAGACCTTTGAACGGGAGGATCCTTTAGGGTCCGTCAGCTGCTACTTGTGCTTGATTTCCCATGCACGTCCTGCACTCCTGGCAGTCCCCTCTAACCTGCCGCCTGCTCAGCCGCTGAGCTGCATGTGCTGAGCCAGGGTGCCCAGGGCTGGGAAGTGGCTCTTTCCACGGACTTGTCACCTCACATCACTGTGGCAGCAGCAGAAGGGACAAGTGTCCTGCACACTGACCGGCTCCCAGGAAAAACCACCCCAGCTTCCCAGGAGAAAGAAAAGTCCAACACACTGGACTTGCAGTCCAGTGCAAGCGGACTTTGGCAGACACATGGAAGCCATGGCAGGCCACAATACTACACATCTTGACACCATCACCAAAGCACATGGGGGCGGAAATTGCACGGCTACCTCCATTCATACATGTCCACTTTGCATGCACGGGTACAGGGCTCAAGAAGGTGCGGCTTTAGCACCCTTGAACCCCCACTTAGTCAATTTACCTCTACTTTAGAGGGAAAAAAATCTTCTTTTAAGAAACCTTTCTCTAACGGGATTTTTGTGGATTTTTTTTTTTTTTTTTTGGTGTTACAGAAGTTTTACAAATTGTGCATGTCAGTATTTATCTCTAGCCTGACTGAAACAAGCATCATGCCTTATTTTGTTGCTCAGCCTAGGCAAAACCATTTGACCTCAAAGGTTTCTTACAGTTTTCCTAGCCACTCTCCATGACATTCCATGACACTCTCCATGACAACTTACTTTTTATATACTAAAAATGAACTATTGGAGCAATACTTTACTTGATCCAAGGTTGATGGCACGAGTTCCTAATGTGAACACAGGACTGGTACGTCCATTAGCTCACTGTATGTAAGCCCAAGGCAGGACATTTAATAGAGTTCACAGATTCACAGAATATTTAAGGTTGGAAGGGAACTCTACAGATCATCTAGTCCAGCCTTCCTGCTCAAGCAGGCACACCTACAGCATGTGGCACAGGGTGGCATCCAGGCGGGTTTTGAAGACCTCCAGAGTAGGAGACTCCACAACCTCCCTGGGCAGCCTGTTCCACTGCTCTGTCACCCTCACAGTAAAGAAGTTGCTCCTCACCTGGAGATGGAACTTCTTGTGCTTCAGCTTGTGGCCATTACCCCTCGTCCTGTCGCTGGCCACCAGTGAAAACAGCCTGTCCCCTTCCTCCCTGCCTTCTCCCTTCCTGAACTTATACATATTAATCATATCCCCTCTGAGCCGTCTCTTCTCCAGAGAAAACAGGCCCAGCTCACTCAGCCTCTCTTCATACGAGAGATGTTCCATTCCCTTAATCATTCTGGTCTTTTTATAACCCCCATCCCTCTTTTCTATCTTTTTCCTTAGTTACTGTATTTTCCATTTGCAGAATCTCTTTTATTTGTTAGGATTATGTTCCCTGTTCTCCACACCAACTCATCCGTCCCTTCTCAGGTCATGTAAATCTGCTTTCACATAAAAATAAGCCACAACAGTGTTAATGTATTATTTATTTTGGTGACTTAGGACCAGAGTTTTTTCTGTGTCAAGACCTCTGTGATAACTCAAGTCCACTGGACTGAGCCCACTCAGAGACCTGGGTGTCTTACCACCTTGCTATGGAGTGTATGGAATGTACAAGTAATAGGCTATAATTATTGACATCCCATACAGACATATATTATCCATTTCGAGGCTCCTTGTTTTTTCCTCCTTATTTATTCTAGAAAGGAAAAGTGAGAAAAACATTGCATGATGAATTTTAACCTTTGCTGACATGAAGCCATATTAAAATAGGTTGCAAGAGACTTAAATTTGGTTAATGCATTCCTGTCACTCCTTACCCCTATAGCCTACTGTCATGTACAGCACCTGCCTTAATCTGGCTTTCCCATCTTTAGTGTTTCACACACTTCTGACTGGCTTAGAAATTACCAGCACCTGCATAAACACAAAACCACAATTTTAAAAGAAAGAGCCTCTCTTCTCTTTTACAGAAATGGTTATGAAGTTTCACTCCTTAAGTAGATAAGGAACAAAGTATTTTACAACCCAGTTCCAGTAGAGCTACAGCCAATTATCATCTAATTCAAGTATTACACACACAGGAATGACAGCTCTGAGTTATGGCTGCTAATATGACACACAAAACAGGTTAATTTTCTTTGAAGCTCCTTCTTATGTCCAAGGAACAGGTTGTGAGGAGGAGAAAAAAAGTCAAAGGGGGCGTTAATGCAGACAGTACTGGACACATGGGGAAAAGGTTCTTGTTCTTTATGCTAGGTGAAGAATACAGGATGAGAAAAGTTAATAAGTTACTGACAGAACAGGTCTCTTCACTCTCCGAGACCTTTGAACTGACAGAATAAATGTCACACACAGAGATAAAAAAAAGAAATCTTCATGGCAAGGACTAGCTTAACACAGGAATATTATTTTGACAAAGGGCAGAGAGCGCAGAACATCAAATGCTTATCTGGGAAGCAGCAAACTGCTAAATAATGTAACACATAGCATTTTCAAGAGAGGAAGTTAAGGAGGAGGGGGGAATCCTGGCCCTTTCTGAAGTAAACAGCAAAATTCCCATTCGCTTTGTTAAACCGAACAAGGAGATAGGGAGGAAAATTAATAATTGAGCTAGTGCATAGAACTCCTTAATTAATGCACATAGTTTTAAACTCAGACATGTGCACTTAACTGGATTTCACAACTGCTGTCTTTCTAATATTTTTGAGTTACTCATAAAATAACAATTTCATGCCATGGCAATTGCTATGAATCCACAGGAAAAATGGCTTCACATGCCCCGTTATTAAGAAAATAAAGAAAAATATTTCCAAGAACTTATGCACCTCCATTAAAAATATTATCAATCTGAAACTCATTACTAATATAATAAAAATGAAAGCACTGTTAATGTGGATAATTCTTTCATAAAATGGCATTCAACCATATAAAGTTATATTAGAAAAAATATGTATTAAGAATAACTGGAAAATACAGAGTTTTGGGGGAACCTCAAACCAATTAAGAAATTACTACCTTGTTTTCCATGTTAAATTTAAAATACTTTCAAACAAGTACAGAAATCTGGTATTTTTTTTTTCACTATGAGAAGCTGTTTCACATACACACTATTCTGTCACAAGCAGCACTGCATTCAGCACCATTTGCATCTGAATAACACCGAGAAGAAAAAAAAAATAATGGATATAGACCAAGATCTATGAAATAGTCTATTCTTATAGGGTAAAAGAACAGTCTAGTCAAGAGAAAATATTGTTCTGGGGAGTTGTGGCACTTCAAAGAGCAAGTAACAGATTTTTCTGTTCTGTTACAGTTAAAACAGTGGAAGTTGCAAGACATTCAGTTCTTGGAAGAATTAGGCCACTCCATCAGTACCCTGAATTAGCCTAATTCCACAAACTCTCTGTTTGAACCTTGATTATGGTGTTTTTAAGTTGGGACAATTGAAATGGGGATAAAGGAAAATATTTAGAAAAATCTTCTATTACAAATATACATTGATATTAGACCTAATACCTACAACTGGTCTTAGGACATTTTCCCCCAAATTACTGCACTGTAAAAATAAATTGAAGCTTAAAAGTGAATCAAGAGATAAAGATTTTATACCAGGGGAGAGTAAACCTTTTCTTTGCAGACAGTAGCATTTCTAAACAGTGAGCAGGATAATAAAAATGATCCCACAGAGTAACTCTTCTGTATCTTGGTGACTTGTGTTTCAGTTCTATTTGGTTTAATAACAAGAAGGGTTCTTGAGATGGCCAAATTATTACATTTCCATTTTTTCAGTTCCCTTTTCAATTAATACTCTCATTGTAGCAGAGAGCATATATATATTGCAAACCATAAAACATTCATCATTCATTAGAGAACAAATATATCTGAAATTGTGTAAACTTTAGATTGTGCACAAGGTGTTGACAGTAATGAAGATGATGAACATCCTCTTTCTATGCATATTTTCTTCTTTGTTATAACAAGGAAAGTTTACGTGCATCGAAGTCCGATTCCACCTGGAGAGGCAAATGGGTTACTATCTCATCCAGATGTACATACCAAGTCTCTTGATCGTCATTCTCTCCTGGGTGTCATTTTGGATCAACATGGATGCAGCTCCAGCCAGAGTGGCTTTGGGCATAACAACTGTGCTGACCATGACAACACAAAGCTCAGGGTCACGAGCATCGCTCCCAAAGGTGGGCAGAATTTCCTCTGCGGTAGTACGGTGGATAATGCTATTTCACAAAAACACTTCTCACCTTCTCAACAGCTGCCATCAGCCACTCTGATTATTAGGACACTTTTTTTTTTTTTTTTTTTTTAAAGATAAATCACTTTGAAATATTTAGATTTGAGCCACCAATCAAAAATACACAGTTTTTCTCTTGACTCAGCAATTTATTCTCCCTATATATAGGATGTCTGGTCTTATAAAATTCCATAAAACTCAACATGGGATGAAAACTTCAGGTTACTCAATACTATAAAAATGCTACTTATTAAGCTTTGACTAGCTTATTCATTCACAGATCTCGGTATCTGACAATGCGCTAGCAAATACGATGTCTGAATTTCTAAAGGTCATAGATTTTGACTATTCTCAGTCGTCTTCCTTGCCCAGACAGTGCCTACAGTTTGAATTTCTCCACAGTAATCAATGTCTAAGTTACAAATATAGTAATTTCTCCCCTTAATTCTCAAAATAAATTTGCTTTATTTTCAAGAACAGGTGTTTGCATCCAGCCAGCTGTTCCAAGGCAACAACTGTTGCATCTATTATTTTGACTATTTTCTCAATTTTACTTGCTCACAATATAGCACATACACTTGATAAGAACAAAGGAACAAAAGACCTGTATAATCCTAAAATACGTAAAAACACATTTTTCAGATGAACAAATTGCTATCACAGCTGTGGAAATGATCAGAGTTGGCCATTATATAATGCTGAATCATGTCACCTCCCTCGGCAGAGAATGCAGTAGACCAGCTGGAGTGACCAAGCACCTCAACTTAGTGAGATAAACTCCCTCTCAACAGGAAACTTAGCACCACAAGAAGGAGAGTTTTACTTTATCAACATGTTAAAGAGAAGAAAGGTGAAGCTAAATAGGTTCTAAACAAGTGTATAAAGAATGGTATATTTCCATGATTATATCTGAGACCCCTACCTGTCATTGCTTTAAACATTTTCTTTCGTACTTTAAGGGTTATTCTTTTACCATCTTCGTATATCATTGCACTTAATGGGAATAAAATATATATGATAAAAATTACCTAAGTTCCACTTCTATATGATCTTTAACTCTGTATTTTTAGGTAGGAGTAGAGTAGCATTTTTTTCCAAGTAAAAGAGATACAGGTCAAGCATATTGATCCGTTAACATCTAAGTCATCCCACGAGCAGATGAGAAAATAGGACACTATAGAAGCTTAGAAAAGCATGCACTCATCAACAAGTTACCAAAGGCATCTAGAAATGTTTTTGTCCTAATTTAAAGGCTTGATGTCAGCCATGTAGCATTAAATGATAAGCTGTTGCTTCACCTTGTAATGCATGTGGTTCTTGCACACTGAGAGGGAAGAGGTCCTACATTCCCACTCAGGATTTTGTACCGCTCTTCAGCCTCACAGCAATGCAGGGCAGCACTATCAGGGTCCTGGCCTAGATCCTCTAGTCAGTAAATGATTTCCTGTACTTCTGCTGTGTCATAAGACTAGTTTGAACCCATATATTTGACTGGTCATACATATACTAACAAAGAATAAACATATCAAAGTTCTCTATCTTCCCTCTTCAAGCTAATTTCTCTGTCAGGAACTTTAAATCTCACCCTTCGAAGAACAGTAAAATTAACACTGGTCCCATTCTCCAGTTCTCTAGCATTATTTACATATTATATTGAGAGAAATGGAGAAACGGTATAGGTTTCTTGTTGATTACTTGGTTTATGATCTACAGTATATTCCTAAGAAATAAATGAGATAGAAGTAAATATTTGTGACTCACTTAAAAAAAAAAAAAAAAGGAATACTACAGGCCCTCTTGCTACTTAGATTTCAAGTTAAGTGTTTGATCAGCATAGTCTTAGAATCCAGAGATGTTAATGCACTTCCTCCTCACTTTAACACTAAACTTCACATCTGTGTTTTTTACATTTTCAGTCTTCTACTCTATTTTCTCCACAGGTGTCATATGTCAAAGCGATTGACATCTGGATGGCTGTGTGTCTGCTCTTTGTATTCTCTGCACTTCTGGAATATGCAGCCGTAAACTTTGTGTCGAGGCAGCACAAAGAACTGCTGCGATTCCGCCGCAAGAGGAAGAAGAACAAGGTAAAGCCATCAGCATTAGCAGCTTTGAAAGAGAGTCAGAAGAACTGATTTATGCCACGATATCAGCTTTCCTTGGTAAACATAGTGCTGCTTAAAGTGGCTATTTAAATAACGTGGCAGCACAAAATCAAATCCACTCTATGCAGAGGGTCACTACAAGGACTATGCGCTGCATAAATCCAACCTGAATTCTCCAAAGAGGGATTAAAAGGGATTTAAATGAGGCATGGGCCACGTGGGAGCCATCTGCATAGGCATGAATTTCACTCTGTTAGAAGAGTCAGATTATTCTTTAGAGCATGAATGTTACTGGTACATACAGCATCTTGTACTGCACTGCGATTCAACAAATAATATTTCCTAACTTCTAGAATTCAGTTCAAACCCTTAATAGCTGTTTCATGCAAATATTTTAATGTAAAAATCACTTTTTCAATTATTTTATTGGTGGAAGAGCAAATATTTTACTTTAAAGGGAGAGCTGATGAAGGCTGACAGAAGGTTTTCTTTCTGTCATGTTAATTCATTTTAGTCTAGATTGCTGCACATTTAGTAAGATATTTCAATAGAGGAATAGTTATTAACACTTATAGTTGAAAGCATCTAGACTACTGGTAGTATAAGACAGTGCAAATATTGTACAAAGTCATCAAAACTTGATGCTGCAAATTTAAATTCTGAAGTCAGCTAAAGTAAGCATTGAGGAAAGGTTTTGTGCATGACTCCTACTTCAGATTCTTCCAAGAAAAGATATTTTTCCTGGCACCCATGACTGACATCCTGCAGAACCTTTCACTGGCCTTCGGTTACTATCTAGAATGTAGCTACGAAGCAAGGTATAACTGTAGCAAGGAATGACACATGGCTCAGGTCAGCTGTCTTCCAGTCCTGGAGATATACCTCACTTTAGTGCTTGAGCAAAAAGAAATATAATATAGCAGCTATAGAGAAATCAAGACAATGACACCATTTGTTGATTAGCTAATCACAAAAGTTAGTCTACATTTTTCTTGTTCTTTGCATTGAGATCTCTGGAATTAATAACTGAATTTATTTACTTGCTTTCATTTTCTCAAGGCACACAGTGAGAAAAACAACAATGCCAGCTACCTTAAAGACAGCGGATCTGTCACAGTTTTACCTTTTTTACTTTTTTATTTCTATTCTGAGAGATTTACTTGGAGCAGATTTCTCATTTATTGCTTTTGCAAATAACATTTGTTATGGAATTAATGTTTATTTTCAAGAACGAACTTTCAGCAAATAACTTTTCTCTTCCTACTTTTTGTCATCATTTGCCATCCTTTTTTATTGCATCCTCACTTTTTTTTTTTTTTTTTTTTTACATCTTTGCATCTACAGAGCTAGAGAAATCTTTAGTTTAAAACCAGAAAAGACTAGACTACAAAAAGAAAAAAATTTAGAGAACTTTATGGAAAATTACTTCCCAAACTTATTTAATTTTCCATTCTTTTTCTACTTTTCCTTTTTCCTGAAGGAACAATTCTGCCTTAGGAGGAAACCAGTGTTTTGGAAACATTGTTTTCCAAACACTGTGTAGAAAGTGAGAGCCCACTTCACCACCCAGTAGCAAATAGCTTCGTAATTAAGGCAATCAACCCATGGCATGAACACAAGCTTCCTACCGTCCAGGAAAGCGTTCTGAATACATGGTTTTTTTAGTTCCTTGTCTCCCTGTTTCATTATGAGACAGTTTTCACAGCATAAGTTTACCTAAAAATGTTTGGTTCCTGTGCCAGGTTATTATCTTGACAAATAGCCATTTTTCTGACAAAACAAGTTTAAGAAAAGGGTTAATTTTGACTCCAGCTCTGCGTAAAGAGGGAGCTCCTGACCAGAAGTAATCTTTGAGAATCTACATCTTGGGCTCCAGAGACAGCTCCACTAATTGTTTCCCTTTTTGCCCCCCTCTATGTTTTATTAAAACATTGTCTGCCCAGCAAAGACACTAGAAACACTACAGTTTGAAGTGATTTTATCTCTTCAAAAAGTTTGGATCACATCCTAAACCCTAAACCAAATAACTGTTGTCTTATAGATCAAAGCAAGCAGTTAATAGGTAGCCTTCTTTACCACAAATGTTACTATTTGCTCACCACAATTTCAAACACGAAAATATTTGTTGGTAAATCAAGATATTTATGCAGCATTTTGTCATTCTCAATCAGCTATTGCAGCTCACAATTATGAAGTTTAGCATGCTTTTGTGATCCATAAGTAGTCCCCAAATCACACTAAAATACTGCGAAGAGCTACCAGTTTTTAGGAACTAGATTTTATTCAACTTCTAAAGTTACATCATTAAACTCATTTAATCTCAAAAGTAGAAAGCATGAAAAGAAGTCGGCTAGAAAGACGGGGCTTAAAACAACTTTGAAGAGTTTCTTTGAACAACACATCCTTTCTTTTCAAACTGAAAATTATCATCCTATCCAGTACTTACTTTTCAATGCTACCTGGGCATAAAGTTACAATAAACTAGTAGACTTTTTCATCCCATGATTATCATCTTCAGATATTTTACTAGGATGTATATGATATATGTATAATATGTATATTGTTATGACATATTTTTGCTGCAACAGGGCAACTGAAGAATTCCCATAGTCTTTATTTTTTCCTGTAACTGAAAAGGCATACTTGTTGCAGGAGATATTTCACCTATACCAACTATTTCAACAGTCAAATGGTTGAACTTAACTAACTAGTAACACCTGAGAGCAGCAGAGGTATTACATATCATACAAGCAAAACATCTGTTTACCTAAATCCATGGGATGTTTGATTTTTTTAACAGCATAGTGTTCATCCATATCAAGCTTGTAATCTTCCTTAATTGCCAGGTCCTTTTCCAGAACTACTGTGGAACCAGTTGCTTTTCATCTCCTGTTTGGGAAATCAATTATTCCCACTTTAGTACCTCATTTTTGCATCTTTTGACTAACATCCTGTTTTTTTTCCCCAGAATATTTGTCCAAATTTTTAAATTCCACTTTAATACTAGAGTTTAATAATGCAACTATATTTATGGATCATTAGATGATCCATAAATCTTTGCTTTACTTGGGGAAGAAATGTGGCCCAAGACCTCATCAACTTCTTAAATTTACATTCTCTTAGGCTCTTGGAAAAGAAAAATGGTAGAAGTCCTACAGAGATACTGAAACATATAGACATTTATGGACATCGTTTTTCTTGGATGCATTGCCTCCGTACAAGAGAAACATTAATTGTACACATATACCCAAAACCACTTTGATTCTGCATTACCCATTAGAGTAACTTATTTACTTTTCAGGAACAGTCAATCTTAGAATTCTATTTTCAAAAATCTAAAGATCAAAGCATCTTTAGTGAGGAAAATAGACACGCAAACTAGATTGATTTAATGGTAATCACACGTCTTTTCTTTTGTTTTCTTTTTGGTCAACCCATCCATTTTGATGAAAGTATTTTGAGGGAGATCTGGATGGAAATGAAATGAATGCATCATTGCAGCATAGCAATGGCTTGAGATGTGCAGGACGTATAGACGGGACTTTGCCTCAAATCTACAGTACAAATTTAAGGGTAAATTACGTAGAAGATGTCCCATTGTCATAGTGTGATACCCAGTCATTAACAGAGGCCCTGTCCTTTTGTCTGAACTAATGTTTTCCCGTGTAGACTCCATAAACCTTCATTACTACTTGTATGTGATGACGTGAAATGTTAATAAAGGAAACCTCCTTAACTTTTTAATCCCTATTCATCATTAAAGATTAGATTAAAACATAAAATTAAAATGATACCATGTGCAACCTCAAAGGAACACTGACATCATTTCAAGGAGAAATCAACTGGTACCAGATAAATATTTAAAATTATCTGTAGCACAAAACGATTCAATAATGCTTTTCTTCAAAATTAGCATTCAAACAGCTAATGCTAGGACTTCAATTACATTTTCAATAACCTACAGTCAAAAGGCTACAAAAGATATTTTCAGCAATTACACATATTATTTCTGTAGATAAATTATTTATTAAGTGTACATTTAGCACACATGTAGAAAACAGCATATTCACAAGCCCACAGAAATTGAAATCTCTCATTTTTTTGGCTTAATATTTTATGGTATATCTTGACATGAAAAATAAACTAGGTGAAATTATTTCCTTCAAGCTACCAAAAACTTCTAATTCTCTAAATGAAATTTGTTAAAGTATTAATAAGCTTTATTATATCTACAATAGAATTAATACTGTTAGCTGCTACACAGCATATATGAAAACTACATTCATATAAATCTTCATTAAAATCTTTATCAGTTATAGATATGATGTCATACATTTGCTTTTCCTTAGTGAGGATGCACTAAAGATGTATTCAAAAGAAAAGAAAAATTAAGAATAGAAAAAAATAAGAAAAGAAAAAGAAAAAATTCACCCCAAACGCAATAACCTTTTCTGAGGCAGACATCCAGCTGTGCAGACCCAGTCTCAGGAAACACAGGATCCTTCCATTAGCTAATCTAAACAGCTGTGATTTCAGGCACCTGTATTTTGAGACACATTTCTAGCCAGAAAGCAGGACTCTAGCTAGGTCATCTTAGGAAAATAAATGAGGCATCACTCTCACTTTATAAACAGCTTTGAACACACGCTCAGAAGTTAATTTCATCAGCACTAGTAGCTGCGCAATATAAACCTGAGGCCCAATTCGATGATTTTTCTGCCTTGCTGCTCTGCTGGAACACTTGCAGAATTACCTCGTGGATGCTCCAGCCGGCAGCTCAGCTGGAAGGCAGGGCAGTACCCACCAGGTTGCCCCTCTCTTGGCAGAGCCTGTCTCTGCTTCGCCACTTGGGCTGGACTTGGCAGTTGCCAACCATCCTGCCTGGGCATCCAGCGTGGCATCCCACAGACACAGGGCAGAAAAGCCAGGCCCTGGGAAGAACATTCCCATCGCTGCCTCACAAGCTCCAGATTCTCAAGCAGCCCCCTCCCAAACTAGAGCGAGGATGGCTGCAAGTCCCATCCTAAGTTATCCTGCTTATGGCTGCCCAGGCAGAGCTGGGCCTGAACGTCACACTATGGGCCTGCTCAAGTGAGACAAGCCCTGCAGAGGGCCAGTAAAGCCACAGCACTGTGGTGTCTCACCCTGAAAGCTCCTCCAACCAAGAGCTGTTATCCAGGCCACTTGGCACGCAGCCGGTTCTGCACCAGCCACGCTACCAGCACTACCACCACCTGCAGAAACGTGGCAACACATAAAACACGGTTCACAGGTCTTGGCCCATATCAACGAGTTTAAACACTGAATAATCATCATAACCTATGGATGTGTAACTTCTATTAACTGGAAACTTTCCAAAGGTATTATTTCCCTTTTTTAAAAAATGACAGAAGCAGAGTACTGTAGTAATTAGTCCTTTGATTTATCACGTCATCAAAAATACATGCTATCATTTTGTATTTCTGTTATTCATCTCCACATTTAAGTCAGTACTTTTTCTTCCTCTTTCGCTTTCATGTTAATTTTCCATTACTTTCAATTTGATAGAATTATTCTAATGTAGGATTGAAGTATAGTGCTTTCAATCAACTCAGTCTAGAAGTTTATTCACCTTACGTATTTAAAAAATTATGTTTAAAAACACTGCAGAATGCTCCTGCTGTTTGCCAATTTGTTAAGTTCAAATACAAACTTATTTGCATTTTCTTGTAGATAGCCAATTCAATTGATATTCAATTCTTGAATTAAAAATAAAAATTGATACTCTTTTTCCCTAGTAATTTTCACTTAAAATTAACCATCCATTTCATTAACCATCCAAAACTTTCAGATTTTCTGAATATCACTAGTATTTTCAAAATAAAGAATTTGGAAGTTAATATTTAAACAGTCCCTACTAATTTTAAAAAAAATCTTTGATTTTGATTGACTCTAGGAAGAATTTTAAAATAGAAGTTTTTCATATAATTAGAATTGATTCATGCTACTTTCAAATTTCTCATATATATGAAAATTTTCCAAAATACTTAAGAAATAGCATATATAATACTTAAAAAGCCTAAAATACTAAATAAACTGCTTTAAGTTAGACATGAAAGAAAAGGAAATTTTGAATTTAAACTTAGCTAGAAAAATGTGAATGCCATCAAAATCATAGCAGTATGTTTGGGTAGCATATATAATGCAGGAATATTCTAGAGCATATTCAAATCTGATCGGGGCCTGACTTCTCAGTCTACATAATATTTATACAAGTGCATTTCTACCTCTTTCACTACTTAAAAATATCTCTAACCAGGCAGAGAGAAGTATAAAAATCCCTCTTCTTGTACAAGCCACATTCTTGAAATCCTTTGAGAATATGTACATCTTCCAAATATTTTTGGTTTTGTGCAGTATATTTTAAAACCAGATTGTTTTTTTAGAGCTTCCTGAATTCAGAGCATTGTTACCAGTTTTTACCTAGACCAGAGGAACAAGGAAAAAAAATCTGTCCCTTAGCTTTCATTCACTTTAATTGATACTCTAAATATTATTTCCTTTAAGGCAGGCACTGGGAAAAGTAGCAATAAGGCATAAAACTGATTAAGTATACTAGTGAGAATTCTGCCTGTTTAAACACTGCCTGTTTATTAAGTGTGACCATTGTTACTACTAGCACAAAGGTTGTGTCTCAGGGCCAGGAAACCACTTTGTCTACTAACGCACCCACCAAGTTAATGGCTGTTGTCCACAGGACTTGTGTGGAATTTGCCCTGTTGAAGATTGCAGGTATAAGCTGTAAATGGGGGAAATCAAAACTAATCAGTAATTGCATTCCTAAGTGCTACCACATTGCAAAGATTTCTTTTTGTCTCTAAATAGATTACAGATTCTATAAACAAGTAGATAAAGCCATCAAAGTGGCTGCAGTAGTTTGGGCAGAGACATTGATAGGGCCAGATTTCAACAAGTTAGACTGCAGACCCAAGATGTCCCTGACATGCAGTACTTGGTACATAGCAGCCAATAAGATTTCTATTAAAATCTTCCCTTTCTTTCTTTTTTTTTTTTTTGCCACAGGATGATGATGTAAGAGAAAGTCGATTTAGTTTTACAGCATACGGAGTAGGGCCATGTCTGCAAGCAAAAGATGGAGTGACACAGATGGGGCCAAACAACCCTAACCCTGTTCAAGCTGCACCAAAAACCCCCGATGAGATGCGAAAGGTATTTATTGACCGGGCCAAGAAAATAGACACAATTTCCAGAGCTTGCTTCCCATTAGCCTTTCTCATCTTCAACATTTTTTATTGGGTAATTTACAAAATCATTAGGCATGAGGACATTCACCAATAACAAGATTAAAGCTTTTAGCACATACAGTTCTGGCTGGCAGGATCACCAGGAGGCTTTCTGTTAGAAATATGCCCAGGAATCACCAGGAGAAGTACAGACATTAAGGGGAGCAAAGAAGAATCCTGTATGACTTGCTTTCCCAAGTCACAGTGGAATGGAAGAAGGACACCCAGAGAAGAGACATCTGCTATTGCAGTTTCTACATCAAACTCAGCAGCAACAACTTTTTCCACAGTAAATCACTCTCTACTGAAGCTTTACTGCCAAGTGTTTATACATAATGTGACATAGTGGTATAACTGTACAGTACTTAAAAATATTCCTTAAAGTTTTTTTAATTCTGGTGTATTTTTAATTATAAAATGGGTCCTGAATTCTCTAGATAAATCCTATAGTATTAGAAAATACTTAGCATTTGTAACACTTATTTCAGTTTTACAAGATAATGACAAATTTGATTTGCATTTTAGAATTTAAGGACTTTTTCTTGTCTTACAAACAATATATGTGGTTTGGCAATGAGCACATATGGTGCATTTAAGTTATATTATGCTTTCAAAGTGCTCCATATTATGGTTCCACTGGAAAATGTGTGTTGATATAAACTCAGAGACAGCACAAGGTACTGCTGCCAAATAGTCTGAATATCACTTGGAAAATATGTTAAAATTTGTCATGTACTGCTTCCTGAAAATAAGTTTTTTTTTTTCTTTTAATGACCTAGAGTTACACTTTGATAAATTTAAACTTAAAAGCTCTTAAATCTTTCCCCTTCCCCCAATTGTTAAGAATTCTTACAGCTCTGGAGATGGACAAACTTCATTAAAATTTTGCAATGTTCCATTTTTAATTCAGTCACAAAGCTAAAAACAGCCATCTTCTCTGCTGAAATATTGGGTGGGCAAGAATAACTGTACTTACATACATCTCATATATGTTACATAAATCAAAATTTAACATACAAGTTTACGGAGTTCTCATTCTTTGAAGTTTGACGTGACTTACTGCTAAAAAATATTTAAGTAATCTATTTTAATTGTACTTCAGAGTAATAAATAGGGAAATGTCTATTAAAACAGTCCAGATTTTTTTTTCCCATTTAAAATGGCATAAGTGGTAATTTTGAATTATAACACAGTCGATCATATTTATTGTATAGTCTACAAACATTCCTGCTACTCTATTTGATTGAAAGAGAAACATGCCAAGATATGGAAATCTGACATTTAAAAAATACTTGATACTTTTGTGTCCAGAAGCTCAGGCTGCTTCTCACTGCTAAATATTTTTATTTTGACCATGTTTTAAATTTTTGATGTGTTATTGCTCAGAATGTGTATATAAAAGCAAAATACAGCTGGAGGCAAACATCTGGTGCACTACCAAAGGCATGTTGCATATGAAGCCACAGAAGCAACATTACCCTGCACTGAGGATTTTAACATAGCAACCTTGGGTTTGGTTGGGATGGTTGTTTTCCTCCAAGGATTAGTTAGAGAGTTTTTAAAATAGCAGTTCTCTGATTTTGTTGAATTCAGAAAGCTGTATAATCCTTCCTTATTTTAAAGCAGTATTATTTTACAGCTTTGCTTCATTTACCAGGTGAAATGTATTTTAAGCAATCATTTGCTCATATGGTATAGTTTAATTGATTCTTTATACATATGTTCCAAAAAAAATCCTTATTACTAAAGGATGCATGTGCTTATTTGTGTGAGCAGGTATTACAAATTAATGCCTAACATTTTAACTGGGTTACATTTATCTCCTTCAGATTTGTCATGAACCATATTTTATAAAAAGGGTTGTTAACTTGCTGTTAACTCACTAAAATTAAAAGTATTAAAGTTAAGGACTATTTGGAGTCCATAAAACACCACGTGAACTTTCAAGTTTATCCTTTATCCCTCAGCTATTTAAGATAGCTGGTTTCCCTCAGCAAGGAATTCTTCATTGAAGGGATCATCACAAAAATAATTCTGGGCAGATACGTAATTATGCATTATTCTATAACACTTCATTTGACTGCCTGGTTCACACTGCCTCTTTCCCCATCATTCAATAGTCAAATATTGTTTGAAAAACATTAACAAATCCAAGTAAAAGAAGCTAAACAATTATCCCTAATTTCATTCCTTACAACTTAAGTGAGAGTCGATCTATGTACTCAGGTGAAGTCCTGAAAGTGATGAGAGAACCTGGATTACCGGGCTAGCAAATGTAATAGGGCATCAGGAGGAACTAGAGTTGTTGAACAAGGACAATATTCTTCATACCTGTATGAATCTACTATCTCCATGAGTGAGAATATGGAGTGATAATCTAGAATAAAAACTACAGTATACCATACACACACAAAAAGCATAAAATTCTAATAATCCTAGCAGATTGTTACGTATAGACCATCACACAGGGAGAGTAAGCACATCCTACTTCTACACTGAAAATATAATATTCAGTCCTCTAACAGGACATTGATTAACATAATTAAATATATTTAAAAGATTATGAAAACTCTACAGTTAAAGTATTTTTGTATGTATTAAGTAATTCTATTAAGAATAAAAACATTTCCAGTGAGAGGAAAAAGCAAAAATAGCTCCATGACGATACTTTCCAATGTTCGGAGCATTTGGCATGGCACTGTGCTGTCCTGAAGGTAGTTTTTTTTATTCTGATGCCATGGAATGAAAGAACCCTTGACCTCCTGTTTCTTTATCTTTTACTATAACCATAATATTTACCATTTTAACAGAAGCCTTTATAGTTCCATGCAACTTTATACAAAGTCACATGTCAAAGACAGATGACAGTTAAGATGCAGAAGACCTCCAGGCCCCAATACCAGCTGTCCACTAGCCATTTATGGAAAAGGCCCCCAGATGCCCAAAGACCTTTCTGCCCTCTGCACAAAGCCAGGACCAACAGCTCCTGTCAGCAGCTAGGAAGGTTCGTGTGGGAGCAGATGCTTCTATAACTGTAAAACGAAGCAGCAGGGAATGGGATTGGGAAGTGTCAAAGAGGGGTACTCTGCAGCATCCTTCACCGCGGCACCTCCACCACAGCGCTGCACAGGCGGGAATGACACCATCGGAGAAGCGATGCCGCTCGCTAGGCTGCAGTGGCCTCGGCTGGCCTGGCCTTGCTGCTCCAGCACAGGTCCTCAAAGCCACACTAGATGGAAGCTTCTTGTGCGCACAATCCCTGCGGGAAAGGCAACAGCCATCCCAGTCCGGCCCTCAGTGACTATTCACTGCAGGCGCAAGATCTGCGCTAGTGAGGTCTTGTTTTCATGGTTGCCATAGAGTAGCCCTTTAGCTTCAAAGAATAAAAAGAGTTATGTCTGAAGAGTCATGTGAGACGAGAGGCAAGGGCTCTAGAATCTGGGGGATTTCCCCAGCAGTACCAAAGGGTGCCAGATTTCTGGTTACCTCCAAGGAGAAAGCCAGAAGCTCGAGGCCAGCCCAGCCCAGCCCAGCCCCCCGGGCACAGGCGGGATCAACAGACATGGGAACTGCCACTGCTTTACCCAAGAGAGCTGCGGCCAGGCATGCTCCCCTCAGGGCAGTAGCTTGTGGCAGGGAAGGCACAGCAGTGACTCCCTTTCCACACCTGCTGCTTTCCGCATGGGAAAACGAGTGGGACACAGGGAGAGGTGGAAGAGCCGGGGCCAGAGAGAGCAATGATGCTGAGCAGTGCCTGCAGCCCTGCACACAGCTGCTCTTCCTCTGCTGAGGACAGGTGCGTGCTCCAAACCACATCACCCCGTACAAGGCCAGTACTCTCCAGGTGCAGACAGGATGAGAAAGGTGCTTCACAGGTACACCAGTTACACTTAGCTACCACAGACATCCTCTAGAAACCAACTCCTGAAGTCAACATAATAACATACATCTTTTAAAAACCATCTCCAAATACCAAGATACCTTGTCAAGTCAGAAATGGCCTTCTCTCCCTACAACATTAATGAACTAGAGAAGACTTGAGTGAAACAAGGAGGAAGTGAAGAATTGTTTCACTGTCTAGAATTAACTTATTGTTGAAATAAAGTTAAAAGTAACTCTTTGCTGACCCCACTTTGGGTTAAAAGAATTTTGATCGAAGAAACTCACTACTACTAAAGCAGGCTACTGGAATGCAGGAGCAATGTTGAATTTCACATTTTTAGTACAGTAACATATAATTCAAAGAATATATTCTAACAAATGTCTTTACTAACTCTTTTTTTATAGGTTTATTTATAAGTAATCCTTTCTGAAGCGTGAAATAGAATTTGTTTAATCACTAGAAAGACTTATGTTTAGGTGATTCAGATGTGCACTTTACATTTGAGGAATAAGGAAATGCTTCCACTTTGCACTATAACCAATTACAGAACTGTAGGTTGGTAATGTAGATAAAAATAGAGTGAAGATAAACTGTGTAGACACTTTATATTTATAAGAATAGGGAAAGATCAAGAAGTCTTCCTTAATATTTAAGAAATTAAAATGTATTCTTTTTTAAGCAATAATTTTATATTAGATGGAAATGCGTTTATTTTTACAGTACCCAGCCCAAATTGAGGTGGGTGGTTGTAAAAGGTGATATATATACTTAGGTGCAACTTCTGCACACTTCTGCTCACCTGAGCTATTAGGGAAATGAATTCAATCTAACAGAGCAGAATTTGGCCTTAAACTGTGAAACTGCCAAGCGAGCCAGTAATTCCTACAGGAGCCCTGTAAGGTAGTCAACTAATTTGATCCACACCTTACTATACAAACATACAGTTATTCCAAGCAGAACGATAGCAGATCATCTTGGCTTTCTTTTCTTTTTGAGATCAAGAAAAAAACTAAAGGACAAATTCAACTACTTGTTAATAATAAAATGGGCGTTCTCTTTTGCAGTGGTTGTGGAAAAGGTGCCTTCAGGCAACACACGTCACCTACAGTAGTTACAGAAATATTATCAGTTCAGAAGGCTTGTGGAAGCAGGTTAGATTGCTAGCACAGTGGGTTAAACGCCAGAAAAAGATGTTGGCTCATCCTGTATTCTTGACATTCTTGAACATTACTGCACTTCTTCACTTTCATCCTTGTGAAATATGCAAGAAACATTTCTTCTGTTTGTATCTTACTGTATGAGAGTGATATTAATGGATGAAGTGGACTAAACTACTGATGTTCCATGAATGTGTAATTGTGGACTGTATAAAAAGAAATTGTGCCATAAGCTTTTGACAAAGTTTTAACATAATGTACAGTAGCTTGTGTGCTAGTGAGCCCAGTTTAAAGGCTGCAGCAAGAACTAATCACATGATAGTGTACCAATGACTTGTCTGTGATTTTTAAACATATTCTCCTGCAAATTCCTTCTAGACAACATATGATGGCAATTTCATCTCAGAGTACTTTTTAGTAAAATTCTGTGTTGTGCATGGATTTGATTTTTTTTCTTGTATTACAGTATATCACACTTAAACTGACATTCTCTGCAAAAGAAATGTTAAAATATGTGCAGTTTATGGTGTCAGTCATGTAACTAGATATTTTATTCAAAAATAAAGTTAACTTTTTTTCAGAAACTATGCAGTATATGACATTTTGTGCTGTGCATTTAAAATCAGAAGAGGGACTATCAACCCCATGGGAAGAATGAATGAAACCCTTGGAAATAGTTAAGGTATACTGGCATTTAAATATTTCAACATTGAAAATCTGAAAAAGAAGGAACTGAGAGCTTTAATTTGTTACATTAATCAGAATAAGCTTCAAAATACTCTGAATTAAAATATGCAACGAAGTGTTTTAGGGGAGATTGCTGGACAAGGGTAGACTCTCAAGTAGAAGTTTGGTTTCCCAGGGCATCTTTTACTGTTAGTAGACAAAGAGGCCTCTACAGAGGACATTTCTAGGCAAAAGACTGACTCTTTATTCAGATAAGTGCCCATGTAAATGAGGTACAGGTGTCCCTAAATAGTCCTGCTAGCTTTATAAAGGGAAGAAAAAACCACACACACTAAACCACTGATGTCACTTAGGCTTCTGGAAGTCTCCACAACCCCCTGCATGTGACAAAGAGGTATCAGGTCCCCCCTTTTCCACTTGCTTTTTAAGTGGACAGGATTCAAAAACAAGAACCGTGGCACTTTCAAGAAGCAGGGCTTCCACTGTCAGCTACAAGCAATTCCCTTCAACAACGTATTGGTGGAGCCTAGGAGGTGGCAGTAACTTAGGCAAACAGCCAAAAGCAAGCAGCACGCGGGCAGATGCTCACAGGCTTGTGACCAAGTCCTCACCTGCCACGTAACTGCAGGCTCAGCCCCCTGCTACTTTGGACAGTTGTTGCTCCTCTATCAGGTGTTTGTCATTGTTCCTTCTCAAGAA